TAAAAAAAATGTTGGAAAATATTTAAACATATTTGCCAATTGGTCTAAATATTTGGATTGAAAATTTTTAAAGAATCTTGTAACAGAAATCTGCCATTTATTATTTTGTTTAATAATTATGTGATTTAAAATTCAAAGGTACCTTTGAATTTTATTGAAATTGTTGGTACTTTAAGTTGCAATTTTTTATGGATTGCCAATAAAAACAAAAAGAACATGACAGTTAACATGTTTTTACTATATAATTTGTAGAGTAAATATACTCCAGTCACATAAAAATAGTACTGGAGTATATTTACTCTACAAATTATATAGTAAAAATATGTTGCAGGGTCAGTTCTTTTTTTAACTGTCATGTTCTTTTTTTACTGGAGTATTTTTTATTCCATGCACTGTTCTTCGATGTTGACATGTTGCAGGGTTATTCTTTTTACGGATTACCAATAAAAAAAGAACATAACAGTTAACATGCTTTTACATATAATTGGAAGAGTAAAATATATATAGTCACATAAAAATAGTTTTTATTTCATGCATTGTTCTTCGATGCTGACATGAAATATTGCAGGGTTATCTTTTTTGCTTTTGTTGTCTAGTGTCTGATCTCAATTTCTACCCTATTATTTTAAAGACTTGCTTCACCTAAGTTTTCTTTATGGACTCTCGTTTAAGATTTCATTTTTAAAATTTTGCATCACTTCATAATGTGTTGCAATTTTCAAATGGTGCAATATATATATATTTTTGTTCACAAAGATGCCATAACCAACATCGACTTCTCAACTTAGAAGTGAACATATGCCATTTTTAGCTCTTTCGGAAAAGGAAACACCCGCCCCACACAAGATACCAAAGGAAAAGAATGAACCCGAAATATATCAAACAACTCTAATGTATCACATTTTTATTTTTTTTCTGTGTTGCTAAAATAATGGTAATTTAAAACATGATATTTTGATATGTATAGCGAAAAGTTTCATAACAAAGGACTAATGTTTTTTTATACAAAATAAATAGGATTGGATTTCATTTAATGTCTATATCATTCATATTAAATCCTAATTGATCTCTTCCTTCTTTTATCCTACAATTACTTACCATAAATATTTTAAGTTTTTTTTTCCTACATGACCATATATTAAATTTTATTTTTTTATTTAATTCATACATCAATTATTATAAATGTTTATTCTTCTTATTTTTAAAATTTTATAACTTTTTTTGTTTGTATTTCATTTTTATATATGATATATCATATTATTTATCTTTTAATGATCTTTGATTTGACATCCCTATTATATATACAAAATCTAAAACACTTATAGTCTTATAAATAAAAACTAAAATTAATAATCAAACTACATTAAAATATATCAAATAAAATTATATTTTATCTTATAAAGTAATAAAAAATTATGTGTATTATACTATAATGTAGCTATTTTAATTAGAAAAAAACAAATAAACTAAGTATGTACATCAAATTAGTATAAAAAAGTATTCTAAAAGTTTATGCCTCGATTTAATAAGACTACACAGAAATATTATGATCGTGAAAAAAAAAAGTAAAGAAACATATTAATTAAATTTATAAAAATAATTATTTTATTTCATAAAGTTTTAAATATTACACTCATACACATTACATTTTAAATTCTTGAACATTATAAAGTTGAAGATATTTTAATAAAAAATAAATCAAGGTGGAAAATTGTGTAAATATAAAGTATAATTGCAATATAATCAAACTTGAAAAAAATTCAAAATTAAAGTTATTGAGTTGTATATATATATATATATGTGTGTGTGTGTATTTGTGTGTGTGTGTGTGTGAGGTTAAGAAAATTATCGTTTTAACAATTTGAGTATAAGATAAGATTTTTATTTTAAATAATTATTTATGTTATTTTTTAGTTATTAGTTTTATATTTTATTTTGATATAAATATTTAACTTTCAAGCGCCAGTGATATTCACGGGTGTTTATTAATTATCGAATAAATTGATTAACCTATTTAATTTTGACAAAAATAAATGTATAAAATAAAATAAATAATACTTCATAAAAATATTTTATAGAATATGAAATAATATAAAAAAAGTTTTCTTATGAATTATTTATAATTTTTTAATTCAAAATAAGAATTTTATTTTTTTCACTTTTTATTAGATAATTAATTTTTTTATGAAATACATGTATAGTGCACGGGCATTGTACTAATTTGACACTAAAACAATAGTTCACGACACTAAATATTAAGCTCATAAAACAATAATTCATAAAAACTAATTGTTAAACAATTAAAAAATATGCCATGGGCCTGGCCGTGCACCTCCTAGTGTATAATATGTGAATAAAATTATGATTATGATCAACAAGAGGCCAGGGAGGCCCGTGGCCCCTCTCCTTTTTTTTTTTTAAAATATATATAATTACTATAAAATATATATAGAAATGCAAAAAATATTTGCAATATATTGATAATAAAAAACTTTTATCTGTGCTATTGAAATTTAAATTAATAGTCTTATTCAGTCATTGAAAAATGTACTCATAATCGCTATAGTTTACATCTGTAGATAAGTTTTCTAAAATATTTATAATGATTTACTCTTTCGGTCTCTTAATTGTAAATCTATTTAATGATTTATAAAACCGAGTAGTTATTGTTGTAAATTTTTAATGTTGATATTTTACCCTTTTTTTTGTGACAATCACATATTTTAACTTTATTTTTAAAAAAATATTCATTTGTTAAGCTCTCATCAATAAAAATGATATGCAATTTGTTGCAAAAGTTCAATTTAAATCAATTTTTCACCCAAAAATCTTTATTTTCCATAAATTATAGATGTTGAACTTAAACTATATAATCTCTTTTTTTCTGTTTATTTTTTTAAAAGTTTGAGGGTGATACAAATTAAAAATTTTTAAAAATTTGATGATACATATATCGATATTTATATTTACAGTAAAGACATTTTTATATGAAATGAACGTTTCGACTTAAACTACAAGTTTGTTATTTAACATTTAAAATTGGGCTCCTGAGTGAAATTCCTAGATTCCTCATTGATTATGATAAACTTTATCCATGTTACACAATATTTAATTTAAAAAATAAATATTAATATTGTCTATTCATACATCATATCCGTGCATTATATATACACTTGTGA